CGTGCGTGCGTGCGTGCGTGCGTGTGTGTGTGTGCGCGCACGCGTGCGTGCGTGTGTGTATGCTTTTTTCCTTTTTTTGTGGTAAAAAGGGGGGTCCGGACCCCCTCGACCCCCACTCTGGATCCGCCCCTGTTCACTCGCCCTGTGAAAATTTACTCACAGTTTTATTTCGCTGTGCTGTTTGAAGAATGATTGAGATGAGGGTTGGGCAAGTTGCTCGGGGACCAGACACGAGAAAAGCTGTTGTTAGTCAAACTTATTAAAGTCCACGCACACAATACTAGCACCCTCGTCTAAATGAGAGCGTTTAAACGCGTTACTTATAATCATGCATTATGCACGAAACGGTCACTACACTACTGAAGGTCCCTCGTGGAAGAGAGTCGTAAATGCAAATGGAACTATAATTACTTACCAGATAACTAATTACGAAAATCAAACAGATAAAAATATATCGTATGAAAAAGCAAACTCGTTGCAGGAGAAATGAGTTCATTACCGGATAACTATAGTAACCGAAATAAAACAGAACAACAAACAAAAATATCGTCGCAGGATAGATGAATTAATTACCCAGGGTACGTTCCGGCAGTACCCTGGGGGTCATAGACCCTCTCAGCATAACTAACAATAACTAACACACAAACCCCATTGCAGGAGAGCGACGAAGAGCCGAGTCCACGCGTCGTCCGCATCATGGCGTCGCCGCCGACCAATCACACGCGTCTCGAGGACATCGCCGAGCATCGGCTGTCCGCCGCCTCCGTGCAGACGGACCCCGAGACTCCGCCCGCTGCCGATGACGACCGCCTCCCGCCGCTGCGCGAGGAGTTGCCACGGGGACGGGGCTTGACGTACCAGGAGGTCGGTGTGCAGGCGGACGATCTCGATCGGTGGGAGGAGGAGCCTCCACCGCTGCCCGCGATTGCTCGTGCACCTTCCCCCGTCGGTCATCGACCGGCGTCTGTCCAGATGGCGCCGCCGGTCGCGCGGTCCCTGGGACAGCAGTTGCAGTCAACAGCACAGCCTACACCAACCCCTAGACCGCAGTGGCAGCAAGCACAACAACAGCCACCAGCCCCTAGACCGCAGTGGCAGCAACCAACACAACAACCAACACAACAACCACCAGCCCCTAGACCACAGTGGCAACAAGAACAACAAAAACCAGCCCCTATACCGCAGTGGCAGCAACCAACACAACAACCACCAGCCCCTAGACCACAGTGGCAACAAGAACAACAAAAACCAGCCCCTATACCACAACCAATACAACAACAACCAACACAACAACAACCAGCCCCTAGACCACAGTGGCAACAACCAATACAACAACAACCAACACAACAACAACCAGCCCCTAGACAATGGCAACAACCAGCACAGGCACCACTAGCCCCTAAGCAACAATGGCAACCATCAGCACAACAACCACCAGCACCTAAACCGCAATGGCAACAACCAACACAACAACAACCACCAGCACCTAAACCGCAATGGCAACAACCAACACAACAACAACCACCAGCACCTAAACCGCAATGGCAACAACCAACACAACAACAACCACCGGCACCGGCACCGGCACCTAAACCGCAATGGCAACAACCAACACAACAACAACCACCGGCACCTAAACCGCAATGGCAACAACCAACACAACAACAACCACCAGCACCTAAACCGCAATGGCAACAACCAACACAACAACAACCACCAGCACCTAAACCGCAATGGCAACAACCAACACAACAACAACCACCAGCCCCTAAACCACAATGGCAACAACCACTAGCCCCTAAACCACAGTGGCAGCAAGCAAAACAACCACCAGCCCCTACACAACAGTGGCAACCACCGACACAGCCGCCGCCAGAAACCAGACAACAATGGCAACCATCGCCGCAGCAACAACCTCCGCCCGCTCAACAATGGCCGCCCGCGCAACGCCGCGACGATCCGCTCGGACAATACCCAGCCGACGTACCCGTCAACGTGAACTACGAAGCGGCGCGGGACAACGGCGGAGAGATCGACGAACAACCGATCGAGTTCAAGCAGACGAAGGCACTGTTCAAGGCGATGGACTCCCAGCAAGCAGCATCCGAGCAGCAGCAGCAGCAGCAGCAGCAGCCGAACGCGCACCGAGGCAACGTTCCCGCGAGGCAGTCCTGGAGGTCTCCGCCTGCGACGCCCGACTACAGAGCCCGTTCGTACGACGAACGACAGCGTGCGGGCCCGACCCAGCCGTGGCAGGTCGACGACAACCCCCCGCCTCCTCGGCAGCTCGGCCGTCAAAATTCCGTGGACATGCCCGAGTATCAGATGACGCAGGAGCAGATGGACTACATGCAGTACCAGTACGAGGCCGCGCAGGCCAGAGCGGCCGCCCCCCAGGCTCCCGCAGGTGTGAGAAATGCGCGCGGCATCTTCGAGCAGGTTAGATAATCCCCGACGATGCGTCGGCATGGCGCCGAGCGCGTGTCGGAGGCGAGGCGAGATTCGGGATTCAGAGAATTTTTTTTTTCCGAATTCGGAGATTCGGGAGGTGTCGTGGAGCGTCTTTTCGATCGCTTTCGTTGGATGAACGCTGGTGCTGGAGTTCGATTCGTGCACACCCGTGTTCTGTATTATTACGTATAGGCCGATAATTGCAATATAGTAATTATAATGATGTGTGCATCAATGCTTCGTACCTGTTTCGTTAAAAAATCTTTGATAAGGAAATAGGAATCTTTGTTACTGGTACATTTATATAAGAACTGCGCCTGCATGGTTGTTTCGTGTGTTATCAGTATTGATTTTTAATGTTTATGTGCAGTATCAATGTATGATATAGAATTTTAATTATCAATCAAAAATATTTAGTAGGTTTTATTTTAACAGATACTGATTTCATCCGTTATTATAAATCATGTTATCATCATTCTGACATCAACATATTTGTTATCATAGCGATGTTGGTATAGGGGTGTTACGGGTGTATTGGTATTAGGGGTATTATGATAATTATGTCCTCGACCTTGCTCTCAGTATAACTACTGTACACGGACGTAGATAAAGAGTAGGATGACTTTATGCACATTGCACATGTTGGTACCCATGCCAACATGATTATGATCAGGATTAGTAAATAGGCAAAGGCGTGACCAAATATTTACGCATGCTATTCATTGTAATCATTAGATGAATGAATTTTTTTTTTCAATCTCTTAATTTTCGTTTAACTGTGATGTGGTATACCCCCTACACATTTAAAATTCTTTGATGTGGCGATAGGCATTGTAGCTAGGTTTACGCACGACATACGAATATTGAGCTATGGACCTAAATAAAATACAAATAATTTAATTAAGAAGAACATAACTGCGTACAAAGTATGGACTTACAGCGTTTGACTGTTTTAGAAATGAATACCTCTCACTTTGCTGTCCATGTGCATAATAAGCATGTGAAATTTACAAGGATTTTTGTGATATTTGAGCATCAATGAAACAACTAAATAGATGTTCCCTGCCGCTGTAATGACAATCATATTCATCTGCAAACACACCTTAAAAACAAAATTAATACCAAACACCTTATACTTTATACCTTGGAAGATTAAATTCGATTTATTTAATACACATGGCATGTTTCATAGAGTTTAACTTCCCTAGAATACACTTATTTACAATATTATACATTTTTAGATTACTGGCACTATAGTTAAAGTAACTAACAGCTTACTTGCATATTCCCTAGCACATTAAAATTTCGCTGCTATAGATCTTTGGAAACTAGAGACTATACGTGTGTCCTATCATATACCATCATGCTAATAAACATGGAAATTAACACTGGAAATCAGCAAATTAAAAGTTCTACGCATAAGCTCACGTGAAATGTATGCCAGCGTGATGCACTTGTGCCAAATATTTAGGGTCAATAACAGATATATTGCTACCCAACATAAACATATGATATGAATTTGACTGCTGTTGATTGTTTGATCACCTTTGTGTTTGATCACCCATTTTGACTTGAAACCTGTCTGAGTTATTGGAAAGTTTAGTGTAGATCTGACACAATCACCCACTGGCATGTAATTAGATCAAAGACACGAACTATAGCACACACTAGTGTAACATAAGTAATGATCAATGTAAAACTGCACCTGACGGTTGACAACTCGAGGGTTTATAGGTTTTGACAATTCTAGGTTTTACTTTGTATACATTATGAGTAAACGATGATCTCAATACTAACTGACATTCATGGGTAAAGAATAAGTGTACATTACTAGATGAATACCTACTATACATTCTTAAGAGCATACATTACAATGAGAATGTCTTTGTACAAACTAAAAGAAAGAACATGCAACAGAATTTGTACACACTAGTTAAAAGGAAGAACAGGCACACATAACAACGAGAATGCCTTTCTGCACACTCTAAGCGAAACGACACCCGTGCCTCACAAGTTGAGAAACACGCGAACATCTGAAGGAGTGCCCCCCCCCACACACACACACACCCACCGAGCTGCGACACGACACATGCCACGACACGACGCATGCTGCGACACGACACATGCCACGACACGACGCAATGCCGCGACATCGACGCATGCGTTGCGCGAACACGACACATGCCCGACACGACGAATGCCGCGACAACGACACATGCCACGACACGACGAATGCCGCGACACACGACGCATGCTGCGACACGACACATGCCACGACACGACACATGCCACGACACGACGAATGCCGCGACACGACACATGCCACGACACGACGAATGCCGCGACACGACGCGTGCCGCGACACGACGCGTGCCGCGACATGATGCGCGCTTCAACTAGACTTCGTAGACGCGCGCGGCAACGAGCTACGCGGCCTTCTTTAACAGCTGCCTCACGACGACGATGAAGGAGTGGAAGTCGTTGGTGGCGTTCAGCTTGTCTACGAGACTCGGCAGCTCGTCGTCTAGCGCAGGCTGGCAGTCGACGACGCGGTACTTGCGCGCCGCGTCCACGTCCAGCCCGAGGAAGTACGGCCGCTTGGGCTTCGTCGCGTCCATTTGCGTGAAGACGACCTGCGAAGGGAGCGCGGTAAAGGTGAGGACGCGGCGCTGTCAGATCTTAAGAGAAAGTGGTAAGGCTTTCTAAAGACACAGTATCAGAGCCTTAAGAGAAAAGTGGTAAGGCTTTCTGAGACACGCGCGTCAGAGCTTAAGAGGAAGTGGTAAGGCTTTCTGAAGACACGGTGTCAGAGCTTAAGTGGTAAGGCTTTCTGAAGACACGGCGTCAGAGCTTAAGAGAAAGTGGTAAGGCTTTCTGAAGACACAGTATCAGAGCTTAAGAGAAAGTGTAAGGCTTTCTGAAGACACGGTGTCAGAGCTTAAGAGAAAGTGGTAAGGCTTTCTGAAGACACGGTGTCAGAGCTTAAGAGAAAGTTGGTAAGGCTTTCTGAAGACACGGTGTCAGAGCTTAAGAGAAAGTGGTAAGGCTTTCTGAAGACACGGTGTCAGAGCTTAAGAGAAAGTGGTAAGGCTTTCTGAAGACACGGTGTCAGAGCTTAAGAGAAAGTGGTAAGGCTTTCTAAAGACACGGCGTCAGAGCTTAAGAGAAAGTGGTAAGGTTTTCTAAAGACACGGTGTCAGAGCTTATGTTATAAGTTAAATATGTTAAGTTATTCATTTTGAGTTAGCTATTAAATAATTATATTATATGTATATAACGATATATTTATAATTATATAAATATGTATTGAATAATTTAATAATATATTTAAGTGCCATTTATAGTGCTACCTCATACACTGCAATCTGAGCTCTATGATATAAAGAGCTAATAATTATAAGGTATTATTAGCTCTTGATGATGATATGCAATTAAACCTGCGTGAATGGACTCTATCAAATCAATCTATCTAATGGATCTCTATAAAGCTGGCAGCTGTCTATAAATGACACTTTCTGCGTTTCCCTCGTGTGGCAGTTAAACGCTGTGACACTGTGTATTGTAAAGTACGTCTTGTGTATACAGATGATTTTGCAAGGTACAAGTAGACTTGCATGTGTGACTGGAAATACGTTCACGGTTTAATCCAGACCACCGCTTAATCGGGGCATCTTCGCGGTTCCTGACCTGTCCCGATAAAGCGCGAGGACCACCGTATCACTGCATGTATAATCCAGACCTGCCAACCTGTGATTCATGAAAATAGTAAGGATTTTCTTTTCTTGCAGCAGGCGGCCATTTTGTTTGTATGAATTATGCGCGCAATGAATGATGGGACTAACTCCAGATCACGCGAGAACAACGTGAACGTGTGATCCAATATGGCTGCGCCCAATCGCCAGATATTTCTCGGCTCAAAATGCAAAAAACATTAATTTAAAAAGTCGTAAAAAATCGTAATTTTTTCAGTTTGATCGTACATTCGTAGAAACATCATGGAATTCGTAAGGAATACGAAAAAATCGTAAGGGTTGGCAGGTCTGTATAATCAATTTTAATTACGTAAACATCCTGATTACCATATTACCGTATAGTCAATTTAAATTACGTAGACATCCTACAGGCTGACAGGGGTAGAAATTAACTTGTGAACAAGGGAGTCTAACGGACTCCCTGTCCTCAAAAAGAGGTCCGCAGCAAAATGAGGGCGTCCGTAGTCTGAAGTTCAAAACTAAAGATATTAACAATAACACATGTGCTTATTTTGAAAATCCATGAGGTTGCACGTCTGCCAAATTTTCTTTGGACATTTACTGAAACATTCCGCAAGGCTGTGCTCTGAAACAAACTAGTTAGTATAGCAGAATTTTCAGAGAGTCGCGCCTGCATATGCCAAATCAGGGAGTCCGACAGTAAATCAGGGAGTATTTGACTCCGGACTCGCGTTAATTTCGCACCCTGATCCTAATGACCTGTACAACACCGCCAAGATGCGTGAATCGACGAACCTGTATCGTGTTATTGTTCGGCTTCTTGACCTCGATGCCCAGCGTATCCTGGAACAACTTCACCGAGTTGCTGATCTCGACGTTCCTCCTGGCGGCCTTCTCCCGCAGATCCTCGATCAGCGCTCTCTTGTGGCGTACCTCGTCGCGCAGCTCGACGAGCTGCCGTCGATCAAGCTCCGCACGCCGCAGTGTCTCCTGAAGCTCCTCTTGTTCAACGGTCACCTGCTCAGACAGATGAGAATGAAGAATTTCATTTTCAGAGTAAAATCACAAGTCGGGGGGGGGGAAGCCAACTATTCACACATTTCATTACAACTAATACAATCAGGGGCTAATCTAGCTGCTTAATATGGGGACCCACGTAAAAAAATTATATATATACTTATCTATCACATTAAATTAGGCGTTTGGTCGACACATTTTATTCAGATAATAGATTATAGATCTTATATGAGCATTTTATTATAAAACAGTGCCTACATAACGATAGAAACATGGAGATCTGCATCAGAGCTCTGCTAATTTGGGCGTTTTATGAATTTTGTAATTTGGGCGTTTTGCTAGGGGTCGTAATTTGGGCGCCGGTATTCGGTATGAAAAATGGCTTGGATTACGACCTGCATGACAATGTGTTTTACTTGTTGATAAACACAGAACTGCATATATAAAATAAGAATGGCAGAACTGCTGGTTATCAGTTTCGTATTGCAGACAGCTCAGTGGTTTCATACCACATCGAGTGCAGGGGTCGGAATAAGCGATGGTACGATGGTCCGGGGCCATCAAATAATCAGGAGGACCATCAGATTTTCACTCAATGGTCCGACGGACCATGAAATAATTTGGTCCCATTTTACGGTAAATTTCTTGCACGCCGCATTACTTTTAGAGAACAATTTGAAATTTAGGAGGACCGTGTAAATTTCAAACTAGATGGACCATCTCTTTTTTTCTCCTTATTTCTACCCCTGGAGTGATGTGGTCACACCCGAGGTTAATTCGTCGAATCATGCGAATAGTAGGATTACGACGGAACATATATAAACATAAATGAATACAGTGCTTTGGACAGAGAAGAATCTTATTGAATAAAGATATTGTTGAGAGTTGCAAAACATATTTTACATTCCTAACCTTACCCCCCCCCCACCCCCCCACCACCACT